TGGTTTTTAATACTCAAACCTAACCTAGCCCTTATTTGGGCTCTATTTTTTCAAAATTCATTTTTAATCATATATTCTCTCATAAAATAAAATATAAATATAAAATTTTTCCTTATTTTTTAATCACATATTCTCCAAAAAATATTATTCTAAAATACATTTTCTTCCCAAAATCTCATTTTAATGAAACCCAAATATGAGCTCAATCTCATTTCTAAATTCTTGAAATGTATTGACCACATTTGTTATATAATTTTCCTTTTGTAAAACTTTTTTTGAAGTTACGATACTTGAAAATCTTCTTTTGGATAAACAATTGATAAAATACAACTATTATCTAAATTGTGATAATTTTCAACGGGCGTATTCAATAACCTTTGAATAATTTCTGTCGTTAGATATTTTTCTTGATCTTAATATTTTAAGAAGTGTTTGCATCCATTACATTTTTGTAGGTTGACTAAAAATTACTCTACGCAATCAATATAATTAATTATTTTTCTCGATCTTAATATTATTATTGATAGAGAATTTACTAATCAATCAAACTTTAATGTCAATCTATGAACTTCCTTTAAATTGAAATGAACCACAAAAATTCAACTGGTTCCAACTCAATAAAATTTTGCACAAATTAGGTAAAGTTAAAAATAAAAAATAAAAAATAAAAAATAATATATATATATATATATATATTATTTAACTCGAACAACTCACCGTACATAAAGTCGCATAAACACGCGCGAGTCCTATGATTCATATGGCGGAATCTGCTAGGTAAAAATTCTGTACCGCTTTAAGCTACAAATATTATATTTATAAGCTATTTCCTTGCTTTTCCTCTTATTATTTTCTAACGAGTTCGTAGCTCTCTCATTCTTGTTCTTCCATTTTTCAGGTAAAAATTCTTGTTAATTTTGCTTTTTTCTTGGTTTAAATTCTTAATCTGTTGAATAAATTAACTGTTGCTCTTTTTCGTCCATTCATTTTTTTTTTTTTTGGGTTAGCCGAGTATAAAAGCTTAGACTTGGGTTTTGAATTTTTTTCTCCTTTTTATTTCTTGAACTCCATAGTTTTTAGATGCTTTTGCTTCCTGGGTCTCTCATTTTTGAAATAGATGATGGGTTGAAATTTAGTTTAATTTTATTTGCAATTTTTTTTTTCAGATGAATTTTTGGGTTCGTTGGAATTTTATTTAAAGATTCAAGTTCTTTTTGGCCCCTGCATTAAGCGCTCGAAAATAATTTCTGATTGCAAATTGAAGTGGCAGAGCCTACTTTAATTCAGGTTTGTTTATGTACATATATTTTGGTTGCTGTCGTGAACTTTATATTTATATTCTGTTAGGACATCAGAGTTTACTGTAATTGATACGTGGGTGAAAGTCTGAAAGAGATATTCTTAGAATAAATGTTAATTTTTTAGTGCTTGCATGTAATATAAGTACTTCAAAAAAAAAAAATAATAATAATAAAAAATAAAAAATAAAAAAATTGTTTCTCCTTTAGTTTTGATGCAATGATTTGTTAGCAAAGTCATAATTTGTGTACAGAATCTACGGATAGAACTCAAAAGCTCTTTACTGGTAGAAATAGCCATTAGCCATGTGATTTCCGTAGTTCCTCGGGTGGGTTTCTGATTCTTCTTCTATTTTGGGAATTTTCTAGTATAATACATGAATTTATGTAGATCCTCCATTGCACTTCATGGTTAATTACCAATTGATTATTTTTAGAGCCTGTTTGATGGCCATTTTTTGCAAAAAATGCTTTTTGGAATAGTGATTTAATGGAGAATATGTGGTTAAAAAATAAAGAAATATTTTGAGTTTGCGTGTAATATTATTTTATCAAAGAATGTGTGGTTTAAAAGAAGAGAGAGAAAAATATATTTTGAAAAAAATGGGAATTAAACAAGGCTGTAATTTTTTTGCTTAGTAATTTAATTTTTGTGCAATCATCTTCGCAAGATTTAGTTCTTAGGGTTGAAAATGTTGGTCCAGTTAAACCGACTGCTTTTTAAATATGTATTTAGATTTCTTAGAGCTGAATATACAAACTACTTTTGCAAAATTCCCTAGCTGTAATGCCTGGTAAGAGAACAAGAGAATTGAGCACAATTCCAATTCAAACTATGGTTCATGGCTGATCCATTAAATGCGATCCTGAGAATATTTATTAACCCACGACAATCCCATTGTAGTTACCATGTTGTTATCTTTTTACATCAAGACAACTAAGAATACGTCTTTAATTAGCTGTTGAGTGTGGAAACTACTCTAATTTTGGCTTCTAGACATGTGGTGCTCTGCATGAGAGATAATTTAATGGAAAGAGAATGAGATCATTATTGGTCTTGTGGTCACGGTTTCATTTTGTTCTTTAGATGATCTATCTTTTTGTCTGTTACTGCGATAAATGTACAATTTTTCTAGACTAGACTATCGGAGTTTTGTTGGGTTCACATACCGAAAGATTTCTGTGCATTAGCTCACATATCATAGAAAAATGTTGTATAATATTATAGATACCTGGCCCTCGGCAAAAAAATCTTAAGATGATCTCAAGCAATTATTTGATAGTTCTGTTTGCAGCATCTTTTCCTTATGTAGACATGACAATACATAAGGCCAAAAAAAAAAAAACAAAAAAAAAAACAAAAAAGGATCAGTGAAGGTGATTCTCTTTGGGGTGGGTGGGTAGAGGAGGTGTTAAAATTTTAGAGGCCCTTTTGGACATTGATACCAAGCCAAACTCAAATCATTAGAGACACTGATCACGTGGTGTATATTTTGGAAAGTGGTAATTGAAAATATTCGTTGGCAACTGTGTTGAGGAATGCATATTTCATGACAGGTTTAATATCGGGATTATTCAAGAGGTTGCGGCCCATTTAGGGTTACATATGAATATCATTTTGTAACAAATATAAAAGATGATTGGTAATTTTGTGTGTCTGTGATCAATGGAGAAGAATGCCTTGTTGTAAACATATGAACTGGTCTTTCTTACCATAATTAAAATTCGTATAGAGACGATTATTACTGCCCTGGTTTGCTTGGAAGGTGAATGTAGATATATCTCGATTTTAAGATTTAGTGATCTAATTGTGCGTAGTCCTAGGATGAATAGTACTCTCCTATGGCTAAACATTGGTGTATGGTATGTTGAACACACAGTGACATGTATTTAAAATTATTTTATAGCTATCTAAAGTTGGATTTGGTAAGGACAAGAAGATACATGCTTGACGGGCATGAACATGTCTCAAGTCAAAATGTTGATTTAGATGCATTATAGGTTACATGATAATATACACGGGTTTGGAAAACAAAGGTTGAAATTTGGTAGCCAATCCAATAAAGGGAGAAGTTGCACAGCATTTGAAGTATATCCAGTGATCATAGTTCCGCTATCCAAACAAATCACATAGAACTACAAAACAGTTGAAATTTTGATTTCTTAAGCTGTTAAATGCTAATAGTTCCATGATCCTAGAAAAAAAGAAAAAAGAAAAAAGAAAAAAAGAACTGCCACTAGTTTCTTTCTTTTATCTTGTGATATGTTTATCCAATTCTTGGTTCAATGTTGCGATAGCATTATTTATAAAAATTCTTGACACAACGTGCTCTTCTATTCCCATAGATTACATTATCTTCAAATTTACTTATTAAAAATTCGTGTAACTGAAATTGTTTCTCTTTGCAACGCATTCTTATATTTTGATTCCAAGGTCATCATTATTCTACAATATGATTATAATACCTTTAGATTTCAAAGTTTTCCTCCAAATTTGTAATGCTCAATTTATTTTCTTCCTTGCCTTATCACTAAAGATCACTGGTGATAACAATATACGGAGGGATCTCACCTTGAATATTTCTTTTATGATCGTTGTTACCTAAATCAAAAGGACGAGGACATAGATCAGATTTTTTTATCCAAACCTATTGTAATAGGAAATTCCCGATTATTGCCCTAGCTAGGTTTCATTCTTGAGTATTTCCCGTGCATTCTTAACATATCTCCATGGGAAATGCTATCATACGTTTTTCTATAAAAACTTTTTGCAAGTTTTGATTCATTTCTCTATACTTGTCTATTAATCTGCCAAGTAAATAATCTCAGTAGATCTCTGTCATAAAGCCAAACCGTTTTTGAGACCTTCTAATTAAATGTTCAATCTCTCTTTCCTGTAGCGTCGAAGTATGTCAAAAGATGCCTAAGATCCACAATTGGTTCCCATTAAATAATAAAGGCTCTAGATGGCTATTTTGGGCCTTAATATGTCTTCAAAGAATCTTGGAATTATTCCCAAAAGAAAAAAATGCTTTCTTTATGGAATATATTCTTTTCTTGAGCTTCTATTGTACACAACATTTTTCCAAGCCAATTCTCTGCCTCATTTCTGCTGATAAACTACTCATTTTACCATGCAATAATCCGAATCTCTCGAGGCACTAGATTTAGACACCTTCTTGGTTAGATATGGCTACTTTATGTTAATACTGTCCTTATTTTCTTAATTATATGTTTTAATGCTTATTTCGTTCAAGAACCTGAAATCAGTTTGTAAATCTCTGTAGAGATAAAATATTGAAGATATGAAGTGCCTATTATTCTAGTTGTGTGGCTTTTAAACTTCTGATTTCACACTTTCATCTTTTACTTTTCTAAACTATTAAGCTCTCCATCCGTAAATGAATATGATATTTTGAATCGGCACTGGATTTTATGTGGAAGTTGAAAAGGTAGAGGTTGTCTACCTTCTCCTGTTAACCCTTTGAACTAATTGCAAAGAGATTATGTCAGTCACGTTAACATTATATACAAAATTCCAAAAATGAAATAGGAACTTTCAGTCATGTATAGGAAATATTTAAGAAAATACAATCCATTCCTCTCTTACTTAAAATTGAAATCCTGTGAGTTCTGTACTCCATTCTGCTTTTATTGTCATTGTTTGACATCCTCACATCATATTCTTGTAACAACATTTTATATGTAATAATCAGTTTCCTGCTTTTTTTTTTTGGATGTTATGTAGTTTTGCCTATAGGTATGAATTTATATTTAAATAATCCGTTTTCTGTTTTCTTTTTTTCTTTTATTTTTATTTTTATTTTTATTTTTGTATCTCATAAGTGTATGAAGTAAGGTACTCCTCTTTCTTCTTTAGTGTTTTGTTAATGTTTTAGATTAATTAATTTGATTGAAACTTAAAAGTAAGTAATTTGAAAATAACTATGCGTTTAGAATTCCTCTCCGTATCATATAGTCTAATTACTTTGTCAGGACACCCTCTATGTTGGGGCACTTAACATTAATAAAAAATTTCTATCTTTGTTTCCATTAGCTGCCATCTTCAGCTCGAGTACACTTTTTATTACAAAAAAGGCTATTGACTCTGGTGTTAATCTTTTTAATTTCCTCTTTTTAATATGATAGTATTAATCCTTCCATGGATTGCTTTACTGAGGCTTGCTCTCATGCAAGTCTTTATTAAAGTCCTCGAAATGTATGACTTAAGTGTCATTTGTCAAGTTTTATGCCCCAGTTTACTGAATCCACAACAAGGCCTCAGCACAAGTTGGAGCAAGAAAATAGAGTTAATCTTAGAAATCCATAGGTTCTCTATTTAAAGGAATTGATGCCAAGATAACCAGTCCTGTTATTTACTAAATGGAATCTACTTAAATCATTATCACATAGAAAAAAATTGAATTCCCCGTACTCTAAGCACTTAGTAAGAATTGATCAAACTTCTAAAATCTCTCTATAACTTTATCTTTTGGCCTTACCAGCACTTGCAAGTTTTCCTATGTGTATTAAAACATGGGGTGAATTTGTTCCCATAGATATCATGCTTCCTCCAGATTGCATATTCTCGTTGCTGTGGTTATATAGCCGCATCTCTTTTTGTTGGATCCTTCCATGCATGTTGTGCTTATCTTGATGAAGTAACTGATTGATCGACTCATCATCCGTCTGTGGCAATCCAGATGAGAAGATATGGTGCTGTAGGAGAGAGGTTTATAACTGGCTTTTACATTATTCATTTTTTGAATTATTTTATGTTTAATTTTTTTTGCTTCTCCACACAAGACATATATATTAAGCTTGTTAAACTAATGACGGATTTAACTTGGATTTGGTGTCCATTTAAGCCCTTGTTTCCCTCTACATAGCTTTAAATGTTTTACTGTGAACGTTAAGCCCTGAGCTTGATGCAAACTACAAAAGTAGACATCAGTGACCATCATGGACCATCATGAAGGCCAAAATATATTCCCATCTCGGTCAGAACGTGTTGTAATTAATGAGTTTTGGGATTGTTTTTGTAGCTTCTGTGACTTTCAGTAGTCTTATGCTACTTAAAGATTTCTCTCTAGCACTAGGATTTAAGTTGTGCTGTATAAATTGACCGCTAATGTCTGCATAACGAGGTGTACTGATCTAAAATCTCATATTCTCAATTGTGTGGACAAATTCTCCACATTCAGTGTGAATCAATGAATTTTTATGCCTATTTAGTTAAAATCACAGGAGCTAGAAGGTTGCTCTTAAATTCCGTGCATTCACGTTTTTGTATGCTCTTCCATGCATATTTAAACAATTGAAGCATACTTCGTTATGGATGCTTAATTATGTTTATTCAAATTCTACTGGATAGACTTATTTATCTCCTCGTGGAGTACATCCGGCATTGAATGTTTTCTAAACACATTTATGTAACTTTCTGGCTCTTCAGATCTGCTAAGCTTCATCTACTGTAAATTCTGTGTCAAGTTGTTCAAGATCTCATCTAGAAAATGAACCAACCTTCTGGTGAACATCAAGTAAGCTGCCAGACTCTCAATTCCCTAACTCCAATTTAACTGCTTCTAAATGCAAAATTTCAATGCAGGATCAGGTTACAGTAGCAGGGTTCGACGATGTGAGATCGCCTGATTCAAGTTACAGCAATGTGTACCCAGGAAAAGAAGACGAAGAGCGAGAACCACCTTCTCTACCCCCGCACTTGCAGAATACCGTGTTAAACCACCCGACAAACAGAGATCCTCACGCTCCACTCCCGGACCCACAAAATGTCACTCTGAATCATCTTTACATTGAGAACAGAGAAGCTCCTCGATCAGTGGTGGCGCTCGGAGTCACTCATCGCTTTCGTTCCAAATTCGTTACCGTGGTACTCTATAAACCAGTACCAAGAAGGGGAAGCAGCAGTAGATGATTTGATTTGCATGAAGCACAAACTTTTGTCAGCTCGTGTTGAATCTGTCTTGAATGTAATAGGACAGTAATTACTCAAAATCCAGTTTAGCGGAAAAAGAGGTTTATAACCTTAAATTCCTGTATTGAATCATATCATGTGTTTCATATGCATCAGTTTTTAAGGATAGAGATGCTCAATCATAAAAAGTATCCTATTGCGTTCAATTATTTTCCTCCATAATAGTAGCTGTTAAAATTTTAAATATTTTTCTTGAAGCAGTAGTGTTATCATTTTGAAATTCGATGAAGGCCAAAAATGGTGTTGGTTGTTCTTTTTCTTCAATTTTCTCTTTCGCCTCAATTTACAGGGACAAAATGTAAGACAGATGCCATGAATTATATAAATGTATATAAACCAAAAGACTAGAGATGATTTTAGTAAGAGACGAGAACAGCAAAATTTTTGCACGTTTCAACATATCTATTCATGATTATCAATAGATATACAAATGGAAATTTCACTTCT